TAGCAAAGATAGTATAGGGAGTTCCCATACACCCTCCACCCAGTTTTCCCTATTATTAACATCTTACGTTAGCATGGTACATTTGTCACAATTAATGAACCAATACTGATACATCATTATTAGCTTTATTCATTATTAGGACATTATGAATGTCCTTTTTCTATTCTTGGATCCCATCTAGGAGACCACATCATACTTATTTTCCAGGTCTCCTTAGGCTTCTTTTGGCTCAAACAGTCCCATTTTTGATGACCTAGACAGTTTTGAGGAGTATTGCTCAGGTATTTTACAGAATGGCCTTCAACAGGAAATCGTCAGATGTCTTTCTCATGGTTAGACTGAGGTGGTGGGACTTGGAGAAGAAGACCACAGAGCTAAAGTGCCATTTTCATCACATCGTATGGAGGGAGCTATAGACATGACTTCTCACTGCTCACGTAGACCTTGACCACCTGGCTTAGATATTGTTTGTCAGGTTTCTCCACTTTCAAGTTGTTCTTTTGCAAGTTATTTGTATTTTTTGGAAGGAAGTAACTTAGGTAGTTGGGTACTTATGTTCCACCTCCTTGGAGCATGAAGTATCTACATAAGTTATTGGGAATTCAACATAGAAGAATTGCCTATCCACTCCCATTTATTTATTCAATCATTTATGTAAGTATGGACTTGTGGGTATTTATTTTATGCTTTGGGTTATATTCTAATACTACATTTAGTTTTTTACTCAGATTGTTCCAGTTTGGGCCACTGGGAGCTCTTCCAATAGGCTGCTGCACTCCTTTGACAGCCCCCACCAGTGTGTGTTGTTGCTGTTGTTCTGAGCACTTCTTTACCCTCTGGCACTACAGCATGCTCTAAGATCATCTTGTACATTCCTGCCCCATAGAATCAGCCATTTCTCCAAGGATCCCTCTTTCCTTTTGTTGGAGAATGGTATTAGAAACCAAAATCTGGGTGCTAGGCGTGCTTATTGCTACTGGGGTACCCATTTGTCTTCGTTTTGGGGTTCTGTTTCATTTGTCCTGTTTTTTCCTTAAAATCTCCCTTTTCCAATATCCATAACTATTATCTTTTCTCTCATTGGATTGATCTTTTTGGCCATTTCCTCTGAATTCTGGAAAAGCATCTCAAGTTTGCCCTCCACATGATCGATTTTTATTTTTCTTGGCATTCACTCTGCTCTCCCCACTACCTCCAGTGCAGATTCTACTTCTGCTACCTGGTATTTGGTTTCCTTCGCTGTCCTCTGACCCTCCTTCTGCATCTTATCCCACGATACATCAAAGACTTGCTTTTCCTTTGAGCTTTCCAAAAGTTACTGCCTTTTCTTTGTTCCTGAGTGTTTTGCCCTTGTAGCCTCTGTTGCTCTGTCTATTCAGACTTGGTATTTTATTCACACACACTCAAAAAATTATTGAGGAGACTGTTATGCTAAGTGAAATATCTCAGGAATGGAAGAGCAAATACCACATTTCTCACTTATAAGAAGGAGTTAAGCAAGGAACGTATATGATCACAAGGAGCTGTAATGGATATTGGAAACTAAGAAGGGTGGGAGGGGGTAGGGGATAAAAATCTACCTACCAAGAACAATGTACACTATTATGGTGACGGGTACAGCAAAAGCCATGACTTCAGCATGATACAACTTATCCATGTAACAAAAAACACTTGTACACCCTACATTTTTTGAAATTAAAAATAATTCATAGAAAAAGCAAAAAAAATCAAAAAACACTACCAAATTGTTGATCAAATTTGTTTCGGATGATGGGAAACAAGAGTGATGGAGACAGAAATTTCTGTGTCCTGGAGCTTACATTCTGATGGGAGGGGACTGATGATGAAACGATTAGGTAAAATTAATATGATGTCAAATGTTGTTAGGAGTTGAATTGTGTCTCCCAAAAAGACACATTGAAGTCCTGATCTCTCATACCTCAGAATGGGACCTTGTTTGAAAACAGGGTCATTGCAGATGCAATTGGTTAGGACGAGACCACCCTGGAGGAGGGTAGGCTCTTAATCCAACATGAATAGTGTCCTACTAAGAAGATGATGTGGAGGGAAGGGGTGAAATGCCATGTGAGGTAGGGATTGGAGCTATGCATCAGTGAGCCAAGGACCACCAAAGACTGACTGCTGGCAACACCAGCAGCCAAGAGAAGGCTGTTGGGGCTCAGAAATCCACACCCCAAAGATGGCATTTGGACATGCTGGATTGAAGAAGCTTCAATGTCCCCCTGACTTCCCGCCACCGGAACTGACTCTCCCAAAGCATAGGACTCTCTGAGGTTTCCTTACCTGCCTCAAGTCCAGACCTACCAAAGAAGGAAATGATCAGCTCTGGTCTCTTTCCTGAGTTTTTACTAATTGAGTTCATGTCACAGGAAGGAAGACTTAAGTCTGTCAACACATCTGGACAGACTTTTGCCACAAACCATTGTGGGCTCCATGGGCCCAGCAGACTTTGTCCAGGACCACTGTATGTTGCTCAAGCCCACTGAATTCTCCCTAGTGACCATTCACTGTCCTCAGCCCAACTCCCTTTCTCCCTGCTTCCCACCAGCTGTTTTGCCGGGACCCTTCTGTAACCTCAAGATGATGTACAAGCTTCCACATCCCATTGTGAGTGGGTCTTATACAGGCTACATTAATTCATATGTCCCTTCTCCAATTAATCTGCCTCTTGCGAGTTGATTTCTCAGTGAACCACAAGGGCGGGGAAGAGCCCTAGAGCTTTCAAGAGAGCATGGTCCTTTGAACGCGCTGGTCTCGGACCTCTGGCTTCCAGAATGTGAAAGAATAAATTGTTGTTGTTTTAAGCCACCTAGTTTGAAGTACTTTGTTACACAGCCCCAGGAAATGAAAACAGATGTCAGTCAGTGGCATGGAGAAAACTGGCAGAAAGGGGCAGGCGGGACTGTGGTGGCAGGGAGTTCAACTTTAAAAGCAGTGTTCAGGGAAGGCCTCTGGGCAAAGCGGGCAACTGAGTAAAGGCTCCAAGAAGGCAGAGCCGTGCAGGTGTCTGGGCCAGGGACCCCTGTCCTCAGCCTGCTATCCCCCATGTCTGTGAAGTTGGAGTCCTTTCTCAGAAGCGTAGTTGTGTGGGGCTGTGGAGAAAGCTGGGCCACGGCACTGCCCAGACTTGGGTTTCAATTCCAACCTGCCACTTGTCAGCTGGGTGTCTTGGGGTAGTTCTTTACCCTCGTTGAGCCTCAAGCCCCATCTGTGAATGGAGACTATAAAAATCCCCTCCAGCCTAGGGCTTTGAGGAAGACTAAATGAGCACATGAAGGTCAAGGGCTCTGCCTGGGGGCCTGGCCCTCGGTCCATGCACTGGGAAGGCAGCTATTCTCACCACTGTGACTGTCACTCCTACTTCTGTTAGAGCTGGCTGCTTAATGAGCAGAGAACCCAGTCCTGTCCTCAGTGTCTTGCAGACTTTCAACTAGTACCTCTGCCCTGCACACAAAGGCTCTTTAAACTTTAAAGCCCACAGACACTGGGCAACTGGGCCACAGGAAGCTACCTCAAGTGCCCGCCCTGGGGAGACGGCTCTGCAGGTGGCAGAGGAATGTCAGTGCAGCTGCAGGCCCCTCCCTCCACCCCAACTCCCTCCCCCACTCACAGATGCTCCCTGCAGAGCGGCCACCCCACCCTGAGTCCTCCAGGCCCCACACAGCCTGTGGTACCGCAGATGGAGGAGCTTGAGCAGATCTGGCTCCAGTTGAATGGGCTGCCAGCAGGCCTGCCCAGACTAAGGCCTCCTCATCGACAGAGGCTCCCAGGGCTGAAATGTGACCCTCGGCTCCATGTCTGCTCTGGATGAGGTGCTAAACAACTGGTATGTTGCCTCCCTTGTTCCCCAGTCTCTGGGCTCTGAGCTCCCCATCTGTGAACTGCGGGACTTAGAAGGCAGAAGCTCTAAACTGCCACCTGCTCTGAATGGGGTAGCCTGGGACCTGCAGGAGACAGAAGGGATCTCTCAGCAGTTGCCATCTGGGGTCTCCATGCCAACGACTTTAAATGTGGGTATGAGGCAATGGAAGAGAGCAAAAGAGGAAGTCCCCGGCTCTGATGACACCCGCACCTGCTTACAGACCTCAAGCAGCTCCCCACTGCCCTCAGCATAAAGGACCAAGCTTCTCAGCTTGGCATTCAAGGCCCCTGGGAACTGACTTCTGTTTCCAGCCTCAGCATCGTCCCTCCCACCCCCGCCCCAGACACTGCAGGCTCTGTGGAACTCCTGCCAATGCCGCGCTTAGGAGGGGTGTGCCTGCCCGGCCCTCTCCCCTTCATCCCTCCTTCCCGGCCAGGCTCCTGCAGGCCGGGTCCTGCTCATCCTCCACAGCCCAATGTCTCCTCTTCAGAACCTTGTCTGAACCCTCTCCCCAGGTGGCATGAGTCACTTCTTCCCTTTGTTCCCAGGCCCTTTGTTCCCGTCTCCCCTGAGAGGTATCCGTCTTCCTGACCACGCTATGAGCAAACTGAGGGCAAGGACAGGTCTGGTGATGCCTATGAGCCCGGGAGAGGGTCTGGCACAGAAAAGGTGACTGAGAGACTTTGCAGCCTGAACGGACAAATGAAAGTTAGAGACCCATCGAGTCAGGAGTGCAGGCCAGGAGTCTGGGCTTCCAGTCCCAACAGCAATGCCCCTTGCTGTGGGCTTCTGCAAGACAGTTCCTCTCTCTTCAAATAGACATGATAATCATTCGTGCCCTGCTTGCCCCTCAGGATGGGTTGAAAGGTGTAAAATCACCAGGAAAGCTCTGAATGGCTGAGCACCTGGCAACCAGCACCTTTGGCCAGCGCTGGACAGCAAGCAAGGGAAAGCCCAGGGAAGCCGACCCCTGGGAGCGTCTCCTAAGCCTGAGACACCAAGGTGAAAATGAACTTGAGGCTCAGACAAAATATGAGGCTCTTTCATAGCCAGGGGATCTGGGGAACCAGGAGCTTCGCGGTCAGTCTGTCATTCAGGCGGTGCTAGCCATGCCTACCTTAAGCTTTTTGACACTGGTGCACGGATCATTGGAGAAACTCTCGGTGTCCGAAATCTCAATGTCCTCGCCGTACAGAACCCCCGTCAGGTCGTTCCTCACCTGTCAGCAAAGAGAAAGCAGAGGGTGGGTGTGCTGGCCACCACAGGAAGGGCCAGTTCAGAGGGGTTGTCCTGGGGAAGTGGCTCCAGTGGGTAGAGCCATTTTCTCCACTCCACCAACAAGGGGAGGAGATTTTTTCCCCCTACATTATAAACCAGAGTGCCCCAGGGCAACTCAGAGACCCCCAGTCCCACCCTGCAATGGGCACATGAGCACAAGGAAGCCAGGCAGGGAAGGCACTTGCTAGGATTGCCCAGCGAGCTCCCGTGAGAGTCAAGACTGCACCCCTGCTGGCGTTTCTCCACTACATCACCCATCTCGAAATCACGCTCTCCAAAAGTGTCTCGGTTTATATTTCGCATTATTTATTTGCAATATTATTTCACTTTTAAGGCGAAGAAATAGCCAAGACTCTCAAAATAATGATGCAGAATAAAGAGGTTTGGAACCAGCCTGTGATGTGAAACATAACTGTCTGCTCTGACACACAGACTAGCATCTATGAACCTGGAAAGCAAAGGGCTGCATGCAAACTCCAATGTCACCAGGGCCAGCCACTGTGGGGAGCAGCCTGTGTGGAAGACAGGAGGTGGTGGTGGGGATTGTGGCAAAGCGCTGATTGAATGCCCCACCTGAAGACAGCAGTTGCTACTTGGTTGCCAAGTTAGCACATGGGTCCAGGGGCACCAGACCTTCTGATTTGGGGGGAAGAAATCAGAAATCTAGATTTTTGAAACATAAAATCCCCTACACTTAAAGAATTTTGATACTATTTTGATTTTTTAAAAAACGCAAAGTAAGGATCAAACTATATACATCTAGAGTCTGTATCTGGCCTTTGGCTGTGCTGTGCACCCCCTGACATACAGCAATGGAAACTGGACTGCGTGTTTTAGTAGAAAGAATTAGGTGGGGGTTGGGACCCAGCTTCCAGGTCCTGCTCTGTCACTGACTTGCTTGTGACCTTGGTCTCTATGTGTGACCCTCCCCTTCACTGGGACTCAGTTTCTTCCTCTTTAAGAGAAGATGATGCTTAAAAATACTTCTTCTTAATACTCATTAGGGTGATTATTACCCCGAACCAGAAAACAACAAGTGTTAGCAAGGATGTGGAGAAACTGGAACCATTATGCAGTGCTAGCGGGAATGTAAAATGGTTTAGCCACTGTGCAAAGCAGTAAGGTAGCTACTCAAAAAATTAAACATAGAATTACCATACAACCCACCAATTCCAGGCATATACTCAAAATAATTGAAAGTAGGGCCTTGAATAGACATTTTCATACCCCTGTTCACAGCAGCAGCAATTATAGCAGCTAAAAGGTGGAAGCAACCCCAATGTTCATTGGCAGATGGATGGATAAACAAATTGTGGCATATACATACAATGGAATATTATTCTGCCTCAAAAAGGAATGAAATTCTGATACATCCTGCAACATGGATGAACCTTGAAGACATTATGTTATGTGCAGTAAGCCAGACACAAGAGGACAAATATTGTATGATTCCACTCATATGAGAAACTTAAGGGTGGTTGAATTCGTAGAGAAGAAAGTAGAATGGTGGTGACCAGAAGATGAGGGGAGGAGGGAATGGGAGTTATTGCTTAATGGGCACAGAGTTTCAGTAAGGGATGATGAAACAGTTGTGGTGATGGACAGTGCACAAAAATGTGAATGTACTTAATGTACACTTAAAAATGGTTAAAATGGTAAATTTTATGTGAGTGTATTTTACCACAATAAAAAAGCTCTTCTTATTTCAATATGTGGTGGAGGCTTGTAATGTATTTCTCAAAGTGTTTTGAATAATCTGGGCCTACATGTCACAGGATGGTTCCTGGGAAGTCACCACCAAGGAAGAAGAACAAAGGAGATTGCAATGGGAGCTGCCATCTTTTATTTCTTGGAAAGAAATATGAAGCAAATGGAGCAAAACGTGAACATTGATTAATTCTGGCTAGCAAGTCCATGGGTGTGCATTTTACTATGTGCTTTTCTGAATGCTTGAAATACTTTGTAATAAATGTTTTGTAAAAAGAAAGAACTGCTGCAGTCAGGGTGGACCTTGTCCAATCTTCATTTTTGCCTTGATTTGATGGAAGATTGGGAACAAGCTGATGGAAAAAAAAAAGTTAATTTTACCATAAGAATTTATTTCTGATGCCTCAAAGTCTTTTTGGATGCGGGTGAGGTCCCATTGCCAGTTTTGTGTGTCATGAGCTGGTTGTGAAACAACAGCAATTGCTAGTTGGAAAATGAGCACACTTGCCCCTGCTGGAAGGCAGTGCCACCCAGTGCATGAGCTCCTGGGTGTGCACAGTTAAGCCTGTCTCTCCACTCACACAGCACCCAAATTTAAGGACACAACTCAACCTCTTAAGTCAGTCTTTCCACCTGTAAAATGGGAGCAATATAACAAGTAACCACAGGGTTGATTCAAGGCCCAGCAAAAAACACTGATGAAACTCTAAAGTTCTACACACTGCTTAAAAGTGTGTGCAATGATCATTCCCAGGCATAAGGCACCATCTATGTGTGTGTTTATGTGTGCATAAAAGCTGTATATCAATACTGCAGAATAAAATATTTTGTAAGTGATCAGAATTCAAAAGAAACAAACAAAAAATGTCCTAGAAGTTGTTTCATTCCACCCTTAATTTCACAGATGAGGAAACTGAGGTGCAACTCTGGTCCAGGCTGGTTCTTCTGGAATCTGCCAGAGGTGGACAGTTCTAGAGGCCCGATTGCCCAGAACAGGGCAGAGCAGATGGTCACCCGGATCAGTCACTCACTGCCCATAATTTCGGCACTAAAGCGTCTGCCTCACTCCAAGTGTTTATTCTAATGGACATTTTTAGGGAAAGCAAAAAAAAAAAAAAAAATCCATATGTACACAGAAGGATCCTTCAGTGCACTGGTGAAATATTTATGAAGTTAAATAATTTCTTTCTACTTTTAGTAGAGATGGGGGTCTTGCTCTTGCTCAGGCTGGTTTCGAACTCCTGACCTTGAGCAATCCTCCCACCTTGGCCTCCCAGAGAGCTAGGATTACAGGCAGCAGGATAAGTTTTAAGTAAATGATTAATAATGGAATGAAAAAAAATTTAATGACTTGGATTTCTTCCCCTCGGTTAGGTGATCAGAATGTATTAACTGAGTAAGGCAATCGCCAAAGGAGTGAATAAGACTGGGAACAACATTTACAAAGGTATCACATCTAGAAGGAAGGAGGGGATAGTCCCTTTCTGGGCCATCCATCTCAGACCACCCCTGGAGTGCTGGTATCAGTTCTGCTTGCCTCTACCAGGGTAATAACAAGGTGGCTTATGCTCAGAGGAGAGAGGTGTGGGCAGGAACCAAGGACCCTCGGGGAGGCCCTGGGCACGGGTGGTCAGAGAGTGTAGGCCGGGCGCGGTGGCTCACGCCTGTAATCCTAGCTCTCTGGGAGGCCGAGGCGGGCGGATTGCTCGAGGTCAGGAGTTCAAAACCAGCCTGAGCAAGAGCGAGACCCCATCTCTACTATAAATAGAAAGAAATTAATTGGCCAACTGATATATATATAAAAAATTAGCCGGGCATGGTGGCGCATGCCTGTAGTCCCAGCTACTCGGGAGGCTGAGGCAGAAGGATCGCTCCAGCCCAGGAGTTTGAGGTTGCTGTGAGCTAGGCTGACGCCATGGCACTCACTCTAGCCTGGACAACAAAGCGAGACTCTGTCTCAAAAAAAAAAAAAAAAAAAAGAGAGTGTAAAGGTCACAAACGCTGAGACCAGTGACGATTCAGGCTCCCGTGCAGCTTTGGGAATCAAAAACCCAAATGTAAGAACATTAATATTGGAACTCAGACTTCCAGCTCTAGGAAGGCCAACATGTTTTAAGAAGGTTAGAGCTTTGGAGGAATCCATAGCTTTGGGGGACAGCTCTGCCCAGGCTGAGCAGAGAGAAAACGCTGCCAGTTCAGAGCAGCCGTCTGGACAGCCGAGACCCGTGTGTCTGCACACAACTCCCTCCCAGCTGGTTCTCGGGGCTGTGGGTGAAGAGGGTGACAGGGCCTTGTCACTCCAATGAAGCCATCACGACGGCCTCCCTCCTGCAACAGACTGAGCACACAACCCCCATCTGCATGCCAGGCAGTAAGAGCACATGCCGGGCTGATGCCTGTGACATGCAGGGAGAAGGGGGGAGAGGGGAGGGAGACCAGGGAGAGAGGTGGAAGGCAAACGAAATCAGGAAGGGAGTGGAGGCGAGTGGACTACTTGGAAAAATTTTCTCGCTCAGTATAACTGAGTCCACATGACTCATTTTTTTTTTTTTTTTTTTGAGACAGAGTCTCACTTTATTGCCCAGGCTAGAGTGAGTGCTGTGGCATCAGCCTAGCTCACAGCAACCTCAAACTCCTGGGCTCAAGCAATCCTCCTGCCTCAGCCACTCGAGTAGCTGGGACTACAGGCATGCGCTACCGTGTTCGGCTAATTTTATATATATATATATATATTACTTGGCCAATTAATTTCTTTCTATTTATAGTAGAGACGGGGTCTCACTCTTACTCAGGCTGGTTTCGAACTCCTGACCTGGAACAATCCGCCCGCCTCGGCATCCCAGAGTGCTAGGATTACAGGCGTGAGCCACCGCAACCGGCCAACACGACTCATTTTTAAGTCTAATGTGGTTCCACCCTGTCCCATCAGGGGGGCTCTGGTCCCCACCCCTGGGAAGGCCGCAGTGCCACTCCATCGCAGGGCCTCCTCCCTGCTTGAAGCCTGCACCTGTCCATTAAACACAGAACAGCTGTGGAGGATGCTGGATACCACCTTCTGTCTGGAAGTCACCCAGTCTTGGGCTTATCAAATGACTGCACTACCTGCCTCCTCACTGTCGTGTGGGTCAGTCTGTTCTCTCCATATACGCTGTCTCTGCTGTAGGGTCCCCAGACTATAGCTGCATGCCCCGCCAGGCTCCTGTCCCCTGCTACCCACAGGTAAGGCCAACAAAC